TATTCCTATACGAATGGATTACCCGTTGGAGAAATTGGAAAAGTTGTACATTGAAAGGATTGTCAGTTTGCATGGTATTCCGTCTAGCATTGTGTCAGATAGAGATCCAGGGTTTACTTCGAGATTTTGGGAGAGTTTGCAAAGTGCTTTGGATACGAAGTTGCGTTTGAGTTCAACTTATCATCCGCAGACCGATGGTCAGACTGAGAGAACGATTCAGTCACTTGAGGATCTTTTGAGAGCTTGTGTGTTGGAAAAGGGAAGAGCTTGCGATAACTACTTACCTTTGATTGAATTTACTTACAACAACAATTTTCATTCGAGTATTGGTATGGCACCGTTTGAGGCATTGTACGGTAGACGGTGTAGGACGCTATTGTGTTGGTATGAGTCGGGAGAGAGTTCTGTGGTTGGACCCGAGATAGTCCAACAGACTACCGATAAGATTAAGATGATTCGATAGAAGATGAAGATTTCTCAGAGTCGTTAAAAGAGTTATCATGACAAGAGGAGGAAAACACTTGAATTTTAGGAGGGAGATCACGTATTTCTTCGAGTGACTCCTATGACTGGTGTTGGTAGGGCATTGAAGTCGCGTAAGTTGACGCCGCATTTCATTGGTCCTTATCAGGTTTTGCAGAAGATATGAGAGGTAGCCTATCGGGTTGCTTTACCGCCGTCGCTTGCTAATCTCCATGACGTGTTCCATGTATCTCAATTGAGGAAATACATTGCGGATCCGTATCATGTAGTCCAAGTAGATGATGTGCAGGTGAGAGATAACCTGACTGTGGAGACATCACCTATGCGGATAGAGGATCGGAAGTTGAAGCAACTTCGAGGTAAAGAGATTGCTTTGGTGAAGGTTTCTTAGGGAGGACCGTCTGGTGGAAATGTGACTTGGGAACTTGAGAGTCAGATGAGGAGTCTTATCCAGAGTTGTTTGAATCAGGTAACATTTTCGAGGACGAAAATTCCTAAAGTGGGGGAGGGTTGTAACAGCCCAATTTTAATTAATTAATTATTCATATTAATTAATTTATTTATTTGGATGATTTTAATTATTGAAATTATTGGTAGATAATTGAGAGAAGGAATATAATGGAAGGAAATAGAATAGAAAGACATATAAGGAAAAGTGGAAAGAAAAGGAAAGAATAGAAAGAAAAAGAAAGAGAAAGAGAAGAGAAAGAAAGAGGAAGAGGAGAAAAGAGAAGGAAAAGGGAAACAGCTTGGAAAGCTCAAGAACAACTTCTAGCTTCGATTTAATCAAGGTAAGAGTGTGAAATATCATTATCTTGTCAATGTGTATGATTATGTATGGATTGTTTGGATTGTTTGGATGTTTTTCTCCATTTTTCATTCTAGGGCAGAAGTGGATTTAATCGATATAGTCGATGTTTGAACGGTTAAAATCTGGAATAAATGGTGTAGTTTAGTCGAGAAAAGTTAGGCTAAGACTACTAGAATTCGTTGGAATTGAATCGGTTGATTTTGTGATAATTTGATGATTCTGGACAATTGGGGTTTTGAACATCGCAGACGTTCGCTAGCACATTCGCTAGGCGAGCAGGTCGCGAGTGTTCGCTGTAGCGAGCTAGTAGCGAATGATACCAAACTTGGACATAATGTAATTGACCCTCTTCGCTGGTAGTGAGCCAACTAGCGAGGGGTTCGCTAGGCGAAGCCCCAGCGAGTAGGTAGCGAAGCCTTACAGTAGCTTCTGTTTGCCTTCGCGAGCTTGTTCGCTAGGCGAACAGGTAGCGAGTGTTCTCTAGGAACTCGTTAGGCGAGCAAGCTAGCGAGTGTGACAACATTTTCATTTCCTTGTGTTTCCATCCAATGTTGATTGTTTGGTTTGATTGTGTTTAATCCTTATCGGAAATGAATAGTTTGTGTACTGTTGTGATATGTTATGTTGTGGGTAGCCGTATGGCGTGAATCCTAGATTGTGGAATCATGGTCTTTTGACAAATATATGCATTGTTTAAATTACTTAAAAGTGCATGATGAATGTGATTGGGTTCGTTGCCGTTGGCGTGGTATTGTGAGTGCATATTGATTGTATGTGATTGTATGTGAAAAATGCATGAGAACATATTGTGAATATGTGTGCATTACTTGGTAAATGTGATGAAGATGTTGTTCCTAGTGAGTTATAGTGACATGGTCGTAATCTCTGGGGTAGAACGACAAGATCTTGTTCCTAGTGAGGTATAGCGACATGGTCGTAATCACTAGGGTAGAATGACAAAATGTTGTTCCTAGTGAGGTATAGTGACATGGTCGTAATCACTGGGGTAGAATGACAAGATGTTGTTCCTAGTGGAGTAATCACTAGGTAGAATGACAAGATGTTGTTCCTAGTGGAGTAATCACTGGGGTAGAATGACAAGATGTTGTTCCTAGTGGAATAATCAACGGGGTAGAATAACTGAGATGTTGTTCCTAGTGGGGTATAAACGATGTACCCATAATCCCAAATAGGGATTGGTGAGAATTGATGAGTTTTATATGAGTCACATGGCACATATATCATTGTTATATGAAAGTATGCTTGTGTATGAATTGTTGAATTAAGGATTATGGATGTGCGCATGATGAAACAAGTTTGGTGATTATCCATATTTGTTTATACACATATTGTAATATATATATGATGATTAAAATGAATTGTGGTGAGAAATGCGGAATATGTGTATTCTATGCTTGTATATATATATATATATATATATATATATATATATATATATATATATATATATATATATATATATATATATATATATATATATATATATATATATATATATATATATATATATATATATATATATATATATATATATATATATATATATATATATATATATATATATATATATATATATATATATATATATATATATATATATATATATATATATATATATATATATATATATATATATATATATATATATATATATATATATATATATATATATATATATATATATATATATATATATATATATATATATATATGCATTGATTATTATGATAATATTTCTCACCCTTCTGCTGTTTTATAATGCTATATGAGGCATTGCATATTAGGTTTGCTGGAGGTCTTTTGTGAAGTATAGCTTCATTCTTTTGGTCGGTTAGCTCTGATATGTAGCACCGGGTAATTAGGATTGTATAGCATTCTTTTGTGATACATTTGTATATGTATCTGCTGACAAATGTTTATGTAAACATGAATGATGTGGTGAATCAAACTGGATGATATGTATTTATATGATTACATGTTTAAAATGATTCAATGTTTAGATTTTCCACTTTTAATTCTAAATATTGAGATGTGGGTGTAAGGACTAAGTTCCTCTGTTGAAAGCTACCCCACTGTTGCATGTCTTTTATAGAGCAGGTGTTGTATGTTTCAATTTTGTGTATGATGTGACATGCCTCTTTTATACCATGTTTTATTTATACTCTGATGAAATTTTAATATGTGCTTAAATGATTTATTTGATTATTTGGGGGTGTAGAAGGGGGTGTTACATTGCACTTCATACAACTGTTTTCATTATCATTGCTTTCATTACGTTAAGTTTGCATTTCAACACTTTACACCCAAGATCGATTGTTGTGGCATTCACGTTGTGATTGGCTGATGAGGCTTTTGTTGGGGCAAAATGTAAATACGATGAGGTCTAGCAGGAAGCTGAATATACCGTTCCTCTTAAAAAGAATAGATTTCAAAAAATGATTTCTTTTTACAAAATTAGAGTTAAAACGTTGAAGCAAAAATAATGAGAGGAAGAAAAACGTAGTAAATGGATTATATAGCATGTGTTTCTTCATTATCATGGAACCAGGAGATCAAACTAAATCATTAACTAAAGTACATTTGAAGTTGCTTTAACAAGAAATTTAAATCCATAAACTTAAAGTCAATATACTATGGATTTAAGGGCCAAATATTCATCAAATTAAAAATATCACATGCCTACACCTATATGATAAAACACTATAAGCAATATCTAATTCTAGATGACATTTTAATAATGAATTATGCTTAATCATACACGATACAATGCAAAAAGTTAAAGAGATTGAGATGAAATATTGTACACATGATATATAACGGTTCGACAATTCGTCCTCAATATACCTACTCCATTCTTCGATGATTTTCATCATCGAAAACGAGAACGTCTTCCACTATAATAAAAGTCAAAGGTACAAGTATTTTTGTTCAACAAATTATTATGAAAGCAAACACTAGCAACTCAATGCTGTAGCGAACTCAGATCTAAAACAATATTTCATCTTGTTGAAGCAGATTACTCACTGCTAATATTCAAGATCTTCAATGATTTAGATCCACCAAATTTGATAGACCCAATGACCTACTCCAAACTTCAATTCTGCAACATCTTTTCTCATATATAACAAATACTTGTTTGAGTAATTGTTCTATCACCAATTGAGGATCAACTCAAAGAGAAAATAACTAGTAAGGTGTCCAAGCAAATAGGTGAGTAGATGACTAGTTCAAAGAGAAAAATCATTTCTCCCATAATTTGAGGCAGAACGAGCTTTCTACTACCTACACGTTTTTTTGATCATGGGAGGAGAGAAACAATTAGTGATTTATAGTTCAAGTTCGCGAATTTTACATAAATCAAACAGAGTCTCTTAATATAATAATTTATAAAAATTATTTAAACTGGTCTTTATTTAAAACATTTTTCCAAAATAATGCTATGAAAATCATTTTAATAAAAATACTAAAGGGGTCGATCAAATTAATCATTTCTAATGTAATAAAACTCAGATGTGATACTTTAACTTGAATGGGGGAAGTTCAACAACTACACCTTGTATGAGAACACAGACGATAAGTTCCACACAATAAAAAAGTGGATAAGCTAAAACCCTAACCCCATCTTGTAAGAAAGAACCCTCTAGATTTTACGTAGAAAAAATACAACTACATCAACTGGTGCTTTATGATGTCTCTCACGCTGCCGCAAATATCACCGGTCATGTGTTTGGCGGCACTTCGTCGGCAAGAAGCTACCGTGAAAACAACCGACCAAAAGCCAGCACAAAACTTAGGTTTCCGCGGAGGCAAGAAAAAGGAATCGCCATGGCATTGTGTAGAAGGCTGTGGGGCATGCTGTAAGCTTCAAAAAGGTCCTTCTTATCCATCCCCGGAAGAAATCTTCACCAACACTTCAGATGTTGAGGTCAGTTTTCACGCTTCTCTTTCAAACGTTTCACCACAACAATTCAAACATCCTTAATATATTCAATAATGTGTACTATAATGTTTTAATTGAATTTCAGCTCTACAATAGTTTAATAGGACCTGATGGATGGTGTATTCATTATGAAAAGAGTACTAGAAAATGTTCCATTTACCCGGGTATGTATGTGGCCACAATATTTCTCTGGGTTTTGAATTTTATCATGTTTCAATTTCCTTGTGGGAATGTTAGCTTTAGAGTTTGATTTGTTCTTTTTGTGTTCATGTTCAGATCGGCCATATTTCTGCCGCGCAGAGCCTAAGGTGTTTAAATCATTATTCGGAGTTAAAGAGAAGAATTTCAACAAAGAGGCTTGCAGGTTCACCTTTCTCAATTTATGTTGTTTCCCAATCACATTTTTGAGAAATTTTACTCAAAAGTCTTGCTTTTTTTTATCCTTGTAGTTTCTGCAGAGACTCCATTAAGGCCGTTTATGGTTTCAATTCAAAGGAGCTTCAGAGTTTTGACAAATCAATCAAGAGTTCTTCTGGTTAGAGTTTTGGATTATCAATTGCTCAAGGTCATTTTTCGTGTCTTTGCCTTTGTTAATCATGTATGTTGGTTAGAGTTTTCTTGTTTATAAGTTCTTAAAGTATGAGTTCTTGAACTGACATAACTATGGCATAATTTGAAAAAATAGCTATATCTAATACTACTAGGTAATATACTAATGAATTATCATTGCACTTTCTTTATTTAAGATTTATTGATTGTTGAAAATATAACTAGTTAGTTTTCCAATGTTTAAATCTGAGCTAGTAGAAGTCTCCTATTAATAAAACCAACTATTGGGGACTATTTCAGTTCATCTATGCCTAAACAAACTATTTTGTCCCTGAATAAACAATTTAATATGATTTGAGTTCATCTCATAAGAAATTGTTGTCAAATAAAGCATGTAGGTCATATTCTTAATATGTACAAAACAGAGACAGGAGTGGAAAATAAAAACACAATTGTTAGCTGGAAAGATTATTAAGCTTATGTCTCATGTGTTCAAATGAATATTCATGCTAATATCTCTTTATTATTACTAGCGTCCATACGCGTGCCCGTCTGTCTGCTTTTTTAATGCGTGTGAATGAAAATATAAACGATACTTTTTGTTTAAATAATTTTTTTAAAAAAATACAATATGTGGAAGTTAATAATAAGAAGTTATGTGGAAGTTAATAATAGGAAGTTATTAAGTAAATTATATAATAAAGTAAGGGTAAAAATGGTAGAAAAATAAGTCACACCAAAACAAAGTATTCTCTTTATATATTGTATAGATGATTGCAGCACTTGGTACTGTCTTCTATTGAGTAGCAACATGGACTGCCAGTGTCCAAACATGAATTACAGGAAAACATGAACTCCAACTAGGAGACTATAGTGTGCTCAAACTCATAATGCCAATGAGCCAAAAAACTTGATGTCATATCATATTGTTTCTATTAGATTGTTGAGCAGATTACTACATCCTAGTCCTATTTTGTATATATACAAATTTATGGATCGGGATAGTTACATGTCAAACCGAAAGAAAATAATTTTTTATCCTAGTTTATAAGCAAAACATTATGGTTAACCTTACTCTGTACAAAAGGTATATATTGTTTACTATCATTATATTAACGAACTATCAAGACCCAGATAATCCTCAATGTCATCTCCATTTTCAAGTAATTTCAGAAACCGAGCCTGGTTTTCTTCCTTTCTTTTCTTCCGCCAGAACTTATACAAACCCATCATTCCAAGAATCAGAACGATTGAGGCCAGAGCACCAAGGAAAACCAGAATTGCTATATGCTTTCTGCGCTTATCAGAAGAGCTAGAAACTGCATAGCACAATTACAATTCGTTTTGTTAATATAAAGTATAATTATCATGTAAAGGAGCATCAATATTCCTCCTGGGTTTACCATAAACATAGGACATGAAAATAACTTGCACCTTCAAAGGCTTGCTAAGAAAATGTAATAAACACTAACAAACTAATTCCATCTGACCTTCATCCCAGTAACAAATGTAAGAAATATGGAAAATTTCATGTTAAAAGTAAAGCAGTGAAGCATACAAGAATGCCATGTGCCTTTTCTTTAAGCAATATAATATTCCTCTATCCAGACAAAGTATAGATTCTTTTGAGTTCGTTAATTTTTCTTCTATTACTTTTATTTTGCCAGATGATAAGCCAACACATGGAAGAAAATAAACTTGTATTTATAATAAAAATCCCGACAATTTGTTAGGAGACAGTTTTTGGGACTTGGTTGTACCATTTTGTGGATCTTTTCATAACACATGGATGGTTATAGAGAAATAAAAAAGTATAGAAGATTGGTAGAGTAATTTATTTTAATAACTAATTGATGTATTCATTGATCAAATTGCATGAGGTATAAAGAATATTCAATGGCATCAACAATTAGTGAGCATGATGGTGGATTTATGGTAATGAAGAATCTCCAAAGCAAAAGTTGCAAGATACTCACCACGAGCAAGAGATAAACAATCCGGGCACAAAAAAGTAGCATTGAATTGCTTTTCTTTGAACCTAACATATTCACCATGGGGTGCAGTAAATTCAGAAGGACAAAACTCCCACTCGTCATAAACATCATCTGAAGTAATGCTGTCTTCCTCATAGAGTCCACACCACTTGCATTTTATACTCGAAAAGTTAGTTAAAACCTGAAAATACATAGCAAAATCTCAGTAGTTGCTTCAAATATCATCACATGCATTATGCAATCTAAACATGAATATCAAAGAGTGAAGAGAATTAATGACAGGTTCCTAAGCAAATTACTCAAATGTCTGCTCATAAAAATATACATAACACTTACACTTATTATGTTAATATCCAGTCACAACCCGTTTGGATAGAAATTTAAATAAGAACTTATTATACAAGTGCTTATGTATAAATTATTTCTCTAACAAATTTACACTATATGAAATAAAATCAAACTAATTTTAAATAATTTATAAGTTCTTCTCACAAGCTATCTTTTTTTTTTCTTTCTGAAAATTACTTTTGTACATTTCATAAATGGTTTATATAAGAGGTCCTGATTAAGGTTTTAAAAGACAGTTTGCAACTGCGAAAATGGGCACGACAAAGTGGTATCTCCCCATGCTCATACCGATATTCATCATTTTTAAATTAAAGAACAAATTATGATAAATTTATACCGTGACGACCGCAATCAGTGTCGCGACACTTGTACACTTGTACTACTCAAAATTGCGAAAATCTTTATACAATCTTTATATGACCAATTTTTAAAACATTCCTGATAATTAATTATCTGAATAAGTCGACCAAAGAGGTATGATTATGCGAATAATCAAATTTTAGAGTGTAAACGAAAAATCATATAGTTAATTTATGGAAACGAAAATATAAAAGAAGAACCTAACCTGCCAAGATTGTTGACCATTGAAAGCATAAACGAAACGAGTTCTCTTAACATCTTCAAACACCTTCTTGTTCTCTCCTTTACAAAGGAAATAAACAGTTGAAGTCGTTCTTAGCCACTCGCGGTTATCGAAGATCTCAATTGAACTCAGTGACACAACTGCACATAACATCAACCCTACACAATGCAAATACAATCAACATTAACATATCTCACACTTTTTCCGTTGCGCAATCGACAAATTAAACATGCAAATGAACGAAAAAGTAAAGAAAATAAGTTAGTTCGTTACCATGAAAGTAGGCGAAGAATACGAAAAGTGCGAAGAAAATTCTGGAATTGAACAACGACATGGAAGTGTGTGAGAGAGAAACCCTCGAAACTCGGTGTAATTGAAATCGAAAATGATGAAAGTGAAGAAAAGATGAAAGAAAATGGAAGATGATGAATTCTGTTATCTGGTTTGGGGAAGAGTGAATGAAGAGTCTAGTCTACGCGACGTGGGCATTACGCACCTGCTTTCTAATTCAATAACTTGCCACGTCACTTTTGGCGCCAACTAATTCCATTCACATCAATCAATTATAATCACGACTCGGTCAAAACTCAAGAGTGCTTGGTGGTCAATTTTTATGATTTGTTTTTATTATTGTGGTCCATATTGTGCTCAATTTTTATAAATTTGTTTATGCTTTCTTTTTTTTACAACAATAATGTCACTACCAAATAATTAAATCAACCACTTTTAACTCCTTTACATTTGTTGAAGTTGAAAATAAACTATGCTATTGAAAATGAAATAGTTGAAGAAGAAATGAGATCATGAGTTAGTGAAGATAATAGATTAGTTGTTTAACAATATTTTCTTTAAAACTGAAAGAATAATTTGTTTTTTAATTAACTCTTGATGGTAGTTGTATGGTAGTTGTAGGAGATCTAAACTTTCAAAGTTTTTTTTTAATAGAAGCATGTGTTTTTTTAATTCTCTATGAACATCAGTGTTAAATTGTTAAATGTGTAAATTTTTGTGTTAAGTATATTTGTAAGATATAGGATTCGATTGAGTCGAAGTTGAATATGTTTTACAGGGTAGTAGTTGAATATGCATGTATTCGACAAAAAGTCGAATATAATTTATAAGAGAAAGAGGTGCACATATTCGATAGAGAGTTGAATACAATTATTCGAAGTAGTCAGTATTCGACCGAGTTGGATAACAACTTGTTGAAGTTATAGTTAGTTTGAGATTTTTTGATGTATAAGCAATTTCATTATACGTAGGGATGTAAATACACAATTTTTCATTCAATAATACCTTTTTCTTCCTTTCTCCAAAATCTTAATTTTCTCTCTCCAATTATCTCCTCTCTTCAAATATTTGTGCGACAGAATCGTTTTGCAACCAAGGTGTGGTTGAATCACTCGAGTGAAAAGTGAGAAACAAGAATCTTAAGTTAATTGAGAAAGCGATTGAATTTTATCCCATCAAGACGGTTTCAACATCTAGTATCTAGAGCACTGATTGTGATTCTTGGAAAGCATAAAACAATGACTTTTCATTCAAATGAGCATTTTCCAGCAAATCTTCTCATCTTGATGCATAAAGAGATAGAGGTTTATGTTGATGACATGATCACTAAATCGCAAAGAGAGGAGGACCATGCAGATAATTTGTTTAAACTGTTTGAGCGTCTCAGAAAGTTCAGATTACGACTAAATCCAACTAAGTGTACTTTTGGAGTTCGGTCTGGAAAGTTGCTTGGATTCATTGTTAGCCAGCGAGGGATTGAAGTTGACCCAGATATAGTTAGAGCCATTCAAGAAATGTCTGCTCCACAGACCAAGAAGCAAGTCAGGGGTTTCCTTGGAAGACTAAACTACATCTTCAGGTTCATCTCTAACAAGACTGCTACTTGTGAGCCTATTTCAAGCTGCTCCGAAAGGATCAAGCAGTTGAATGGAATTCTGATTGTCAGCTAGCTTTTGAGAAGATCAAGGGTTATCTACAAGAACCTCCAATCCTGATTCCGCCTGTGACAGGGAAACCACTGCTTATGTATCTGACCATGTTAAAAGGATCTATGGATTGTGTATTGGGACAACATGATGAGACTGGACGTAAGGAACATGTTATCTACTATCTAAGCAAGAAGTTTACCGACTGTAAAAGCAGATATTCACTCTTGGAGAAAACTTGTTATGCTTTAGCATGGGCTACCAAACGTCTCAGACAATATATGATATGTCACACTACTTTATTGATCTCCAATATGGATCCAATAAAGTATATTTTTGAAAAGCCTACCCAGACCGAAAGACTCGCCCGTTGGCACGTGTTATTATCCGAGTATGACATCCAGTACGTAACTCAAAAGTCCATTATAGGGAGTATCTTGTCAGATTACCTTGCAGAGCAACCACTTGAAGAGTATGAGCCTCTAAAGCTTGACTTTCTAGATGAAGATATTATGTTGATAAAGAAAGATTGTGAAGAACCCAGTCCAGGTGAGGGTCTCGAGCCAGGTTCCCGTTGGAAAATGATGTTCAATGGTTCTTCTAATTATAATTGGCATGGCGTAAGTGCTATTTCGTTGGATCCAGATGGTGGTTACACCCCATTCACAACTAGGTTATGCTTTGAATGTACAAATAACATTGCCGAGTATGAAGCTTGCATTCTAGGCCTTGAAGCACCAATTGATCTTCGCATCAAAGCTCTCGAAGTGAGTGGAGACTCAGCTTTGGTGATTTATCAAGTCAAGGGTGAATGGGAGATGTAACGCCCTTTTCTACCCCACAAATATAATGGCAAATCAATCATAATTATCAGAGTAAAATATTGAACGCAATAAAATCATCTCAAAAGGGCGCACATTTCTCAAAAATTCAAATATAGTCAATGCTCCTTAAACAACGGGTTTTCCCAAAATTACTCAAAAATTGCTCAAAAGGCAGCAGAACTCAAAAAGGCAATAATCCAAAGTTTTCCTTGCGCCGCAAGGCAATCAACATAACAAAAACTCAAATAAAATATAGTTTGACTCAAAGATCCTAATCCGATGTTACACTATCAGAGCAAGACCCTATAAGTCAACCACAATGGACAATAACCCAAAAACTTCAAAAGTCCTCGACGACATCCACGACTAAACTTGGTCATCTGCACGTTACCCACGTGGAGGGAACATTCAAACAGGCAGAGTGAGTAAAATGATTCATAATAATCAATACAGGAATCAATATATAAAATAACATCATTTTCATATTCAACATCATCATAATCGTCAAGGAACATCAAATGTCACAACATTATAAATTACACCAAAATGTACATAAATGCAAATGCAACAAGACTCATGCATGTGGTACCAATCAACAAAATTTGATGGACACTGGGCCATCAACCCTCCATAGATCCACAACAGTAGGATCGATTCTACACGAGAACTGGAGCACAACAAAATACCTCACATCCGCACAATGGGACTGAAGCCACAAGAATCGATGTCCTGAACCGAAGTCCGGAATGCATATGAATGCATGATGCACACGTCAATATAATCCTCATAATAATCTCATTAGGTGCATCATCATTCATCAAAATCATCATAATAATCATGTCATCATATAATCATCAAAGCCTCATGAAATTAACATAATAAATCATCACAATTACTCATGGGAATCATCATACAATCATGTATTTATCTCATAAAAATCATAATTATACTCATGGTAATTCATTTGAGAAATCACAACATCAAAACATCAAGACATCACTGCACAATATCAAAATTCGTGAAACTCTGCTACATTCACTAGCAAGTTCGTTGTGCGAGTCTGGGGCGAATGTTCGCTGTACGAACTCGCGATTACAGCAAATCGCTGTTATGCACCAGCACCAAAACTAGACCAAAAACCTCTACGATTTCCTTCCCCAATGCCCTAAAAATATCCCAAAATCATTCCTAAGGTATTATGACGATAAAGGCATAAAATCTACGACTTATTAGGCCAATATCGTATCATATTTACGCCTCTAATTCCCATAAAATTCTTACAACTACACCACAATCATTAAAGTCCCCAAATCACTTACCCTACAGGGTTGAAGCCTCAGCAACAAATTTGGCCACGAAGGCCTAATTTCCCTTACTCTCAAATAGCCTCAAACCTATCAAACCATCAGTTCAAATACCTATACGGTGAAAACCTCAATAACAGATTTTGGCCACGAAGGCCTAATTCCTTTATCTCAAACCAGCCTCAAACCTATCAGACCATCAGTTCAAATCTCCTCAAACTCATTGAACTCACCATTAGAAAGGCAGCAACAATTCAATCAAAAATCTCTAAACCCTTAAATCAAATTTAAACACATTGGATCATATATTGAAAACAATAAAGGCAATACTCCCCATACCTTAATTACCGACTCTAAGTCTTTCTCCTTGATTCTTGGAAATCTTGTGAAGCCTTGCCTCAATCCTCTTCCTCAGAGCTCTGGCCTCTATTTCTTCCCTTTTCACGGTCTAACAAGATCGAATCCTAATTCCCTCAAAATTTCCTTTTGTTAAACCTAACTTTGGGCCTTAAAATTGGGCTTTCCAACTTCACCCTCACTAACTCCTCCTCAAATGTCCATTTTCCCCTTAACTCACTTATATTTATTTAAATTAATAATAACACCAATATATTCATATTATATACTATTATTTAAATAAATACTCAAAATCCATAATTCCCAATATTCACACCAACCACCGAAAATCACCAAAAATGCGAATATTCATATTTAAATAAATTAAATAAATATTTCAAGAATTTGGGATGTTACAACTCTCCTCCACTTAAAAGAATTTTTTTCCTAAAAAATTACCTCAAGGAAACAGAGTCGGATACGACTCCCTCATCTGATCCTCACATTCCCACGTCATACTCCCCCCAGCTGGTCTTCCCCAAACTACCTTCACCAAGGAAACCTTTTTACCTCGCAGTTATTTCACTTCTCGTTCATCAATCTGAACTGACAATGCCTCAACAATCAAATTATCTCTCACTTGTACATCATCCATCTGAATCACATGTGACGGATCTGGAATGTACTTCCTCAACTGAGACACATGAAATACATCATGCAAATTCGCAAGCAATGGCGGTAAAGCAATCTGATATGCTACTTATCCCACCCTCTGCGAAATCTGATATGGACCAACAAAACGCGGTGTGAGCTTTCTGGACTTCAAAGCTCGGCCAACACCAGTTACCGGCATAACTCTCAAAAACACATGATCTCCTTTATGGAACTCAAGTGCTTTCTTTCTCTTATCATGGTAAATCTTCTGATGACTCT